CCCAAATCAACTGAAAGCAAACTGCTGAACATCGACCCGTTGATCAGGTTCCCTCTGGGGTGAGATTACACCAGGTCAAAGAAGAACTTGTGGCAGATTTCTTCAGCTATGCCAAATCCTCATTCATCTCAGGATGGCCAAGCAGGATTAAATGTAGGTAGGAGAGAATTCAGACAATGACCACTCCTGTTTTCTCTCAGTATCTGTGTGCCATTGTGCTTTCAGACCTGAGGGAGCCTGATACTTGTGAAATCAAGCTTTCCTGCTGTGTCAGCAGGACCCCTCCAGGGCAGCCCTGCCCTCCCCACACTGACAGGTCTATCCTGCCTTTGCTGCTTGCAGAGCTCATCCGCTCAGCCCCTGGGTCTCGCTTCAGATCTGGCTCAAGGGGGGGTTTTGGGGCATCCAACTGGCAGCAGAGATGAGAATCTGGGAGGAAAGGAAGGGCGAGTGAACTCCCCCTCCCTCAGGTCTTTCTTAACCACAGGATTTTTCACCAAAAAAAAGGCAGAAAAATTGCACAGGAAACAAGCAAAACAAACCAAAACCTCAACAAAGACAGAGTCCAAATGGGTGTTTTCCAGCAGAAAGCAGAGATGCAATAAACTGAAGCAGCACCCAGATGTGCACAGAGCCCCATGGCGGAGATGCTGCCTCCCACCTGGAGAACTTAAATGCTATTTGTAGGAGGGTTCACAGACATGCCAAGCACATGCCAATGACTAAAGGTTTGAATCCTCATTTTGGTACTTTCAGAAACCCTCCTGTGTAGAGCTCCTAACTTCCCAGCCACAAGTACACCTCTAAATACCCTTTCACAAAGAGCAAACGATGCTGGGATGGGGGTGTCAGGGCTGGCTGAGATTGCACACATCTACTGAAGACAAATGAAACAAAACCATGACTAAACCAAAACCTCCTTGCCTTGCCTAAGCTCTCCACGGTAAATGTCTGGAGTTAAAACTGCCCAGTGTGTCCTTAGTTCACCCCATGCTCATTCAGCAGATGCTGGTCCCTGACAAGCCCAATGAAAGGAGTTAAGAGAGAATAATGCTGCTGCCACCCAACAGGCACTCGAAGTGCCACAGATGAGAAATGTAAGATCAGACACTGGGCGTTAAGAGGGAAAAGGGACAATAAGTTCCATAAAAATAATTCGATAAAACAAGTGTTAAATTCTATTTCCCCAAGTCCCAAATGCCCAATTCTTATTATTTTTTTAAGCAGAACTGCTGGTGAGGAATCACAGCACTGCAGCACTCTCCAAACACAGAGCAGCCAGGAACAGCACCTCGCTGCTTATGCTGCACATGAATGTTTAAGAAACACTAGGACAGCAACCACAGAATAGAATACAGCTGAAACACATCTGTGATATGGATTTTCTTAGGTTTTTTTTTGACATCAAACCTTTCCTGAACTCCCTCACATGTAAAATGCATGAGCGTGTCCTTAAAGATTAGCATCTTTTTTAGCCACTTCACACCTAGGTTAGTTTTGAAGACATTAGGAGGTGCAGGGTGATGGGGTATGAAAAGCACAGCTGCAGATGTAATCACAGTCCTCTTCTGTCACACCCAGCACAGAAAACACCCCTTAAACCTGCACAGTCACTATCCAAGCCACTCTGATCCCAGTTATCCCACTCACCAGGTCAAGAATACGGCCAAAAAATACCTAGAGGTGACAGCAATTTGAACCAAATTAGAATTAGAACCAATTCAAATTAGAATTTGAACCAAGTAGAACTAAAAATAAGCTTAGTTTTTACAACACTGGAGCAAAGTAATCCTGATCCTGGCTATGCTGTAAGTTGTTTATTCTATTTAAGTGTTACAGCCTGTGAGCTGTCCAGTTGGGGGTCCACCTATAAGGTTTTACACACCAATAAACCAAGCCCAGACACAACTTTTAAAGCAAGCCCCACAACAGCTTTTAGAAGTGTTAACTTTTCATTGGTAAAATAACTGCATGAGCTATACTGAGTCTACTTTCAAACAGTTGAAACGCTGTCTAAGTAAGAAACCAACTTCATCCCTCCTTTTGAAGTAGCACGAAAGGAGTGATGTAAAACAGCTGTCCACAGAAAGATCACAGGGACACCCTATTTTCTGTGTGGTCATATTGCCACATATTTCTTTGTCTTGAGATGTTACTGCTTTTCTGAAAATAATGAAAATATTCAGGGAAAGCATAAAAAGGGGAAGAAAAAAAAGCCAGAAGCTGAAGGCAGGAGGTCAGCACACAGGAGGTCATACTTCTGAGAAGTCTCAAACGCTTCCACATCTGAGCAAGAAACTTGGTGTTGCTCCTCTCTTTATGGAGACTGCAAACATAAACCAGCAATGGGACAGCAACCAGTAGAGCAAGTTAAGCAGCGCTGCTCAGGCACTATCTGGAGCCTCACAGGAAAACACAACCCCATCACCACTGAAACTGCAGTCCCAGACAATAAACTTGGATGGTATTTCACACCAGTAATAGCTGCTGGCTTGCAATGAATGGTGGTAAGAGCCTTCAGTGGTATAATAGAAAACAAGGGCCCAGAGAGGAGTGGCAAAGGCATGGCACTTTGTATGGGCTCACCCATATCCTCAGAGGTTAAACAGGCTTTTAAAAGCAAGTTACCCATCTAAAACCTCAGTACTTTTAACAGACTTACAGTATTTCACCTGGTGAAGACGCAGCAACTCTGTACTGTGCTACTAATGCACAGCACAGCCTCAGAGAGCACGGATAGAGTGGCATCCAGATGCTCCAGATTTATTCCCTGCTCCAGGGCAGGTTTGACTCACTTAAACACTTCCCGAGAGAAGTTATTAACCTGTTCTTGTGAATCTCCAGTGAGACAGCCTCTCTGCACCATCCACCTGAGCCCTGCATTACAGTTAGAAGTGTTTTTTCTAATGAGTAATCTAAATTTCCCTTGTCTCACAGCTTGCACCCATCATTTCTTGTCTCAACACAGATGGAGAACAGTGCAGCGCTTTCCCATTTTCAGTATGTTTTAATGAATGCCAGTGTGCTTTCCTTGAAGAAAAAAAGACAGTCTCTTGATGTATTCCTGCTGCATAAGCTATGAGTTACCTGGCATGATTTAAACAAAAATGGAGGAAGTTGCAAAATGTAGGTGGAAACTAAAGAAGGGTGTATGGAAGGAGCTTGTATGTTCTTAAGGACTTATGAGAGAGCTTGCAGCTTCCATAAGGAGGTTAATAAAATCCATGTTGGACCACCAGCAGGTAGCGTGCTGTAAAACAGGAACTCAGACAAGCAGTAGCGTGCCACCTAGGACAAGGTGTAAACATGGGCTTTGAGAGGAGCATCCTCTGTAGATCCCAAGGTTCCCACTCTGATCCAGTTTGCTTTGTACTGTGTCTTGTGTGCATGGACAGGAAGTAGAGGTCTTTACCTTTAAATGTTACCATTCAACTACTGCTTTTGATCCTATTACCTTTCACTCTGTTTGAAGTGTCCGGGTAGTTTAACAGGAAAGTAAATGTCACATGAAATTACCTGTACTTAAAGATGGGCACATTTGTACCTCTCCACACCTACAAAAACCTGATGCTGTAACAGGCTTCATAGGAGGTAAAAAGCTTCTGAGATAAAGAGTGTAGGATGGGTATTTTTGAACACAAAGACAGAAACCTCTGACTGGTTACAGATACAAGTCAGTGGAAATACCTCGTATTTTACACCTGGGCAGAAAGTGATTCACCCTCCACAAAAGGGCAAAAGAACAGTACAGAGGGAGGGAAGGTGATTCTGAAGATGCAAATTAAGGTTATCATCTGCAAACAAAAAGTAATTGTAAAAACACTTAAGGGAAGATGTTAAAGAACTAACAGAGATTTATATTTATTCTTTTCCTTCTAAGGGAGAAAGAAAAAGTTCAGCAAGCCAGCCTGGGGAGCTGCAAAGAGGAAGGAGGTATATTTTGTGATAAGGCTCAAACAATGCTCCTGTTGAGCACGGGCACTGAGCTGGAAGAAAATAAAACCTCTGATAAAGCAAGAAATTCTGCAAAGACAGCACTGGCTCCCATAGCTGACACAGGAATGAAAAAGACCCACATGCACACACAAACATACACACACACACTTGCCAGTACAGAGAGACAGGACTATCTGCAGGCTTTTATGCACGTTTAACAATTAGGGCCTGTAGTGCTCCCCCAGAAGAGTTTATTTTCACAAAAGTTGTACAAAAAAAAGCACAGTTAAATGCTTATTTGTGAGGATTAGTTAATCAGATGGGTTTGGAACAGATGGGAATCAGATGGGTTTGAGAGAATTTTAAGTGTGCACGAAGAAAACAAGCACCAGAAAATTTGCTTTATCTCCCCACTTTTATCTTCTTTTTTAGATGCTACTTGACAGATACGTGCGCTGGTGGCAGCTGAGGGCCCTAACATCACTGTTCATCACACAGTTTCTGCAGCCTTGCCTGATCCTTGTGTAACCCTATGGACTCAAACAAGTTATTCCATACATGAGCAAGAGAAACATGCAGGGATATTTTGTGAAAAGAATTAAAACTACTGGGGGTTGGTTTGCACATGCAGATAATTTTCTACTCGGAAATGGCCCTGACCATGGCACTGGTTACAGATAAGATTTCCCAGAGCAAGTGCCACCATTTTCATTCCCTGTAGACTTGGCAGCTCTGGCATCTCAAAGGGAGAGGCCACACAGTGACTGCAGCAAGTGGAAAGGACCTTGGGTTGTATCTGTTGGGTGCCTGCAGCGTGAAACCAAGCATAACTTCAGTAAGGTAGATATGAAATTTCACAAATAAAGTGTATGAAAGCACTTAGCCATTTGCAAAGCACAAGCTGGAAATATCACCCCAGCATGAAAGAGGACAAAAGACATTTGTAAAGCACGTCTGCTAGCTCTGAAATGCTTGGGTTCGGACTCTGGGGCTTTATCCCTAATTCCCAGGTTCTTCTTTAACTGCATACCACCTTCAAGAGGAAAAGGGAACCACATACTTACCCTTTGCAAGCTGCACGAAGCCAAGAATGATGATGAGAGCCAGCGCCAGCAGCTTTGCCGCAGCAAAGGCATCCTGAACACGAGTGGCAGCTTTCACGCTGTAACAGTTCACTGCTGTGAGGAGCACTGAGGGAAGCAGGCAAGAAAAGACAGGTCAGTTTTCAATGAAACACTTAAAACACAAAACAAATCATCACAGACTCACAGAAAACCAGGTTGGAAAGGACTTCAAGGACCAAACCTTTCTACACAAAACTAGGTCTAGCCTAGACTACATCCAGTACCACGTCCAGCTGAATCTCTGAAGTGCCCAGAGTTGATGAATCCACCACTTCCCTGGGCATTTAAGTTTTGCTAAAGCTTAAGCAAACACAAAAAGTCTCTTCCTAAAATAGAAACTTTTAAAGGCAAGGTTCTGCAGCCACACACTTCCCTATTCTGTCTCCTGTTTTGAGACAGCAGCTGGTTTGAACAGTATCCTTGGGACAAGGAGCTGCCCTGCTGCACTGGGAAGAACACTTCTGAGGGCATGTAAATACAAGTGCTTGCTGCAACCATTATCATTGGCTGCAGTCCCTGTTAAGTCGACCCAATTTAACGCTGCTATTGTGTGGAAACACCATAGTGTCAGGACAAGCTTCCAGAACTGGTATATAGTTATTTGTGTAACAATAGCACCTAAAAGGCTATTGAAGGTGTAAACATGAAGGAGGAGATGTCCCTGTCCTGACCCATTCTGCAAGCTGCGGGACATGGGTCAGTGGCACAGACTGAAAGAGAAGCCGGATCTAAGGCAACCCTCATCCTCTGGTTGGCTTGCTGGACCAGTGGGGCCCAGGATGGTTGCACAGGATTTCAGGGATGCTCACAGGGCTGCACACCACAGCGATGGAAGACAGGGCTGCACAGAGCAGAATAGTGCCATGGTTCACGTCTGCTCCGACTGCTCTCCTACACGATCATGCTACCTTCCCACGCACTGCCAAGCAGCTCCTGCTACCTACACATTACTCAATGAAGCCTTATTTCCTACCTTTTCTGGCCTTGTTCCCCCATCACCCTCCTCTGTTATCACCCGCTCCTGCCACTATTCAGTGTGACAGTCCTACCAGGACAGGGCTTGTCTAAAGCCATGAAGCTGCTGACTGGCCAAGTTTCACCTGCTTCAGAGGAAACAGTGGCTAAACCCTTAATGCTCTTCCAAATCACTTACTATTTTCATGCCCTGCTCTCTCCCTGCTTCCCAGAGACTGTTGCTTGTTATAGAGACAAGCAAATGTCACAGCGAGAATGACAGTGCCCCACGTGCTGGATGCCTTCCCCTCCTCTCCGTCTCCCTTGCACCCCTCGCTGCCTCCACGCCAGCTTGCACAGCCCCTGGAGCTGCTCGGGGAGGAGCTGATCTCAACCCTTCTTCTGGAGCTGGAGGCTTTTCCCTGTGGGATCGTCTCCAAGCTGGCCTCTGCCCTTGTGCAAAGGCTGCTTCCCACATCCTGCAGCGTATTTTCACAGGACCCAGCTGCCTCGACCAGAGCCAAACGGCTGCTCCCCAAAATACTCAGTCTGGACGCTGATCACACTCTCCTGAGGCTACGGGCTATATCTGCACTCACAGCTTAAAGCCCAGAGAATGGGATGTAGATATCTCAGCCCTAACAGAACTCCCAGAGATATGACTGGGCTCAAGCAGCACCTTTGTCAGGTCACCACTCTCTTCCTCCAGGGGATTGCTGGTGGACACTCTGGCCTGTTCCTGTGGAGCTGAGGTGCACGGGGTGCTCAGAACAGAGTGGGAAGGTGATGGGTAAAGGTGGGAGGCAGAAATACCTGCAGTCATATGGCCTGATTACTGCCCAGCAAGACACCCGGGGCTTTAAGACCCTCAATACATGCTGAGCATCACAGGGGAAACCACAATACATCCCTACTCAGAAGCAAGGTTACCTCCAACTACACACCCGAATCCAGCTATCACACACATTCACATGAAGGATGCAGGCACCAGCACACCATGCATTCACCACCTCCCCTCTGACATGAGATGGCTGCATGGGATCAGCAGTGCCTTTGCTCTCCAGCTTCCATCAGGACCATGCACCAGAGCTGCTCACATCCCATCAGCCTGGAGCAAAGCTGCGTTCCCACAGCCTCATACCCTGCCTCCCAGCAAGGGCACAATAAACTGCAGACTGGGAAATAAAACCATGGGAGGAGGAAGGAGTATTGGGCTTTTAAGAGGGTCTTACTGGCTCACTGCCACCCCGCATCCTGCCCTGCCCGTGGAAGCAATTGCATTGGTAAGAGTTCAGGGAAACACAGCACACATCCCACGCCAGAGCTGGGAATAGCATTCCTGAGACATATGAGCACAGGCAGGCTCAGAAGCACCCATAGGCAGGCTTCAGAGAACTCGGTCTTCAGGGACCACAGTATCTGGGTCCGATCACAATGATCAGACTTCCTGTTTTTGCTGGGTGACAGGACTTGCCGGTGATGCAAAGCAGGAGTCACCAGGAAGCAGTGACACACAGGCAAGAAGAGAGACGAGTTGCATCATTCATTCAGAGGGATGTGAAAGCCTGCTACAGCCACAGCAGGACAGCAATACCCATCACGCTGAGAGGATTTAAACGTCCATCTAAAGATCAGCTAAAGGCTGCCTGTGAGGGATCTTCAGGCAGAGAAGAGCAAAGCCAGTCCCAGTGCAGCAGACTGCACATCTCAGAATGCAGTGCCTGCTTTCAGGATCATTGGCTACATGGCCCCCCCCTTTACCCCTGGGATCTGGTGTCATCTCAATATAAGAGCATTTAAAGTTCTGAGAATGAAAGAGAAGTCTTTGCAAAGAAAAGCATGCGATCCAATACATCCCACAAGAATGAAAGCCACAAGTAAATAAGAAACTTCAGATTCACCTTTTTTAATATATCATGCCTTTCAAGCTACTTTGGGAGTGTCTGGGTATTTGAAGCAGGTGAAACCGAAATGACCAAGAGCTGTTTCTAATGGGAAGCATACCCCTGTACCACACGTGCTCCTGCACAGGTCATCATGGCCTTTAGGTGACCTGCTTCAGCACCCAGCCAAAAGCAAACAGTGAAGACCCGTGCCAACAAACCTGCCACACCACCACCCACAGACGTAAAGCCATGTCCCTGGGTCCCCCCACGCTGTGCTGCTTGTGGGAGATAAGGTGCATCTCCTTAGAAAGATGTAACATGCCCAGGCTTGGAAGCTCTTCAGCATCAAGCAGGCCAGCACTATCTGCGGTTTGCAGGGTCACAGCTCCGACACCTGGCAGCAAGATTGTGATATATCTGCCTCCAACCAGCATGCTAAAAGGAACACTGTCCAGACACACAGGGGAGGAGAAAACAGAAATTAGCAAGGTCAACTTACAGCATGTCTGTGCCACAGGGGAGGAGGTGAAGGGGAGAGAAGAAAACACAGTTAAATACCACTAAAGCACAGATCACAATTCATCTACTAAAAGCATCTCTATAATGAATCCTAATGGGGAGGACAGGGAGGGAACCGAGGAGCCAGGATTCACTTCAACCAGTGATTATGCTAAAAATAAAACTCTCCTTGTTTACAGAGGGATATTTAAAGGATGAGCTAACGTATCTAAAAGCACACTTCTCCCATTAGTGAAGACAGCCCTTAGAGGTGTGACAGTGACATTCCCTTCCCCATTTAGGCATTCTGTTTCTTTGACAATAGCTGCTTCAGCCTCCACTTTAAATACTGACATTCTCGGGGCTGTTTTTCATGTTCTGGTTCTGTACAGAGTCTGCTGGACGGGCCATAGGAAGGCAGTGCTGCACATAAAAGGCAAAAGCTTTCCACTCAGCCCTAGACTGAAAAGCAATGACAGCGTCTGTATTCAGCCCTTAAAAATACATTGGTGCCACATAAATGGGCTTTGTAAATACATAAAATAACTTAGGGACAGAGACTGAACAGGGCTGAGAGCTTCTTCCACGTCAGTCGTAATTCAGATCCTTCCAAGTGACAATCTCAGCTTTGCTTTTCCTACCACGTAATAATATTTGTCTTTCCTAAAGGAGTGTGGTGGAGTTACTACACTTAAATGCTTTTTCCTACAGACACCAAGATGAAAAAACACACCGAGTACTTTTTCAATAAAATTCCAAGACAAATTCCAGTGGCTGCTTCCCAGGAGACCAGAGGGCTTGGGTTTCGTAAAGCAGAGTTTTATTCCTTTGATCCGAGATGCTATCCCATGAAGCAGGGGCTGTGGGAGTCCTCCTGGCACGGCTCCCTTTACCTCAGATGAACTGCTCCACATGAACAACAGGGGAAAGCTGGATAGCCACAGCTTTGCTATGAATCAGGGCCATGATACAAAGCAGGGAAATATCAGCACTGCCCTAATTTCTGCAGCACCTTTTGTAAAGCTACAGCCAGTAGCCATAGTCAGAAGCCGGCTATGCAGCAAATCAGACCTCTAGCATGACCTGTTGGGGCCATTCTTGGGAATCATTCTAGGAACAAGGACTTCAGCATGACCTGATGTGACACTGCCTGTCTGATCCAGCAGCCCCTCTGCAAAGGCTTTGTATAATTGGGGTAACAGGAGCTACAAAGCAGCAGTGACTGCAGATGTACAAAGGGGTACACCCGTTTATCTTCCAGAAGCAGGGAGGATGCTGGGTTTTGACTGCTGAAGAGAGAACATGCTCACAGAGTGCTGTTAACTCTTTCATTTCCTCTGGTGACTGCTCTAGCCAACTGAGGGTGAGCATCATTTCAAGATACTCAAGCCACAGGGGAAGCCACAGGCTTTCAAAGAGAATTTTTGGCTTTCCAAAGACAACAACAGGTCCAGCTTCAATTATTTACTATGTCCTCGTAGTTCCAGCTGGCTTCAGGCATGTCACATAACCTGTTCCCCTGGCATTCACCTGCACAGTGTGATAATTTCCCCGTTACTGATAGGAACCAAGGATAAACAGACTAACACAATATAGAACCTTGCCCTGCCACAATTCACATTTTATGGGCACATTCCTTTGAACTCAAGTTCCAAGACCACTCCCAAACATGGTTTCTAAATGACAAGAGGAGCAAATCCCTACCAAGCACAGAAAGGTATCATAACA